CCGACCCCTCCCAGGCCAAACACAGCACAGGTAGAGCCTGGGGTGACCTGCGTTTTCAGAAAATGCAAAAATGGATTAAGTAATGATTGTTAGAAATTGCTTCAGCTTTAAAGTGCCATTTCCAGTGTTTACCAAGAGCTACCCAGACTCTTCTGTCCAAACTGTTATCACAACCTCTTTTGGCTTGAGTTGATTCATGTTTAAATTTAAGGGGTTGAACTTGTCAGTGGTTCTTAAACTGCTGCATATTAGATTTATCTGGGGAGCTTTAAAAAAAATCCCGCTATCCAGGCCACAACCCATGCCAATTAAATCAGAATCTCTGCAGGTGGAACTCAGTCTCCAGGTGATTCTAATGGGAAGGTCAGGCTGGGAACCAGGTGACTGGATGATTTTTGAGATCCAGATGGCAGTGATTACTATCTTGAAGGGACTTTTTATTGCTGAAATCCTTTGATAGCCAGCTTCAGCATCTCATACATACACAAAGGCAATATTTGAAAAATGAAATAAGTGGAAAGGGTACTCCAGAAGACAGAAAAATATTCCATTAAATCCTCAATAAATAACTCGTTGGTTCATTAACATTCAGTAGTTGTGAATAATATATCCGTGCTTTAAGAAATACACTAGTGAACAAGAGCAATGAAATGTTTCTCTATATTTTAATAACGAATAAAATCTATTGTTATGAGTATTCTCAGCTTCAGTTCTTAGGTAGGCTCAATTAGACCACCTGCTAAAACAGATGAGATATATGAACAAGGGATTAAGTGCTAACGTCACAGAAATTTGGAAAAGATATGCTCTAAATTGTTTACATTGGCTAGGGTTTATTTATTCAACCTAGTGTCCCATAGTCAGCTTTCATTGTAGGTAAAATGCTTTCCTGTACCAAATAATCTCATTCTTATATTCCCTTAAAGGTATATATTCACTCATTCATTCACCCATCAAGTGTTACTCAATATTATGAGGGACAACACCACTTTCTACCTTACTTAGAAAATTACAAGTTTGTGACTGTGATTTAAACGTGCTAATAATATGTATTGTGATTTAAGACTCAACAGGAGATTTGAGAAAGATGCTGTTCTAGTCTCAGCTCTCATTTAACAAGCAGCGAGATTTTGGACAATTATCTTTATATGTCTGGACCTCAGTTTCATAAAACAAAGATACTATTAGATTTTTAGTCTTTTGAGATGAGGAGTCTTTAAAGAATTTCTGCTTGAAATTGACCACTTCTGAAGTATGTGTGTTTTACGTGTTCATGGCAGGAGAGTTAGTTAAGTAGTGAAATTCCATAATAAGTGAATTATGCATCATGGAAGCTTCATTACTTTCCTTCTAAGAATCCGCAGAGTGGGTGAGCCTTGGTTTGGAGGTGAATCAGGTAGAGCTTTGGACTCTACTGTTGATCCTAATTCTGGGAGTAGGGGATCCACAGACTAGATGCTCCTCAAGGGCAAACGCTTCATTTCATTTGCTTTTGCTGTCTCAGAACCTAGCAGAGCTAAGGTGCCTGAGACATATGTAGGTGCTAATTGTTGAATGAATTACTAAATGAGTTCTCCAGCCTAACATTTCATGCTTTAATAAAGAGCAAACACAGGATAATAATTATTGAAAATGACATCTTTACTTTTTCTTAATTCTCAGCAACTTTTTATCTATGATAAACAGGTGAAATTTCTAGCATGTGCTCTCAATTCTTTATGGGCCATTTTTCTACTCTTAATTGACAATCCAAATCTACAAAAATAATCTTTGATTCTTGTGAGAAATTGCTTCTCTTTTGGTTCCTGACGGTCTGCTTGTAACCAGTTTTACCACCCATTATCATTCCTACCTTGGCAACTTTGACTGCAGACCCATAACCAGTCGAAAATCCACAGCCAAAGAGGCAGACTTTCTCCAGAGGAGAGGCTGCATCAATTTTGGCCACTGCAATCTCATCCACTACTGTGTATTGGGAGAAGGTGCTGACGCCGATGAAGTGGTGGACAGGCTTCCCTCTGCATGTGAACCTGCTGGTGCCATCTTGCAGGGTCCCCTGAGGATTAGTCAGACTGGGCAGTGCAATACAGACATACAAAGGCATGAGACACAACATAACTAATGAGCAAACTCAAAGTCTATGCAAAGAGAGCATCAGAAACCTACTCATTTTTGAGGCAGAAGTTGCTTTCCGGGTTTTTACAAATTCTGCATTTTCCACACTGAGGAATAAAGAGTGGTATGACTTTATCACCTGGAGAGGAATAAAACAAATTCTTTTACAACATCTATCCAGGAATTAATAGAGCAAAAACTTAAAGCTCACATGTATAGACGAGAAGCATGTGTCTTTAAAAGTCGCCGAGAAATACGTTCAATCACAACTATGTCATTTGTCATTGCCTGCCACAGCCTTGTTTTCAGTTTGGGGCTATAAGTGCCTGAAGATTCCTAAAGAGGAAATGCAAATGTGGGAAACAACACAGATTAAAAAAATTACTTCCACAGCATTGATAGTTAACTTTTATGCAGTGTACTGATTTCTCCTGGAGGCTTTACAAACATTTAATTCAATCCTTAACTATTTAAATCTTACTGTAAGTATAAATATAAATTTTAGTTGAAAGTAGAACATAATAGTCCCACTAGATGTTGGTATGACCTGTTTTTTGTTATAGTTTGATTTAGAGTAAAAATGAGAAGTTTGAATTCATTCTTTGCTTTTCAAAGTGACTAGGTTTGTCTTTATTATGAAATGAATGCTTTTAAGATGATCTTAGTTCTTTTTTGAGGAAAAGTAACAAAAATGGGACAAAGAACAATTGCAGAAATTCCTCTAGAAATTTCAACCCTCCACAATAAGTTAGGCCTTTTTGGATAAGAACTGACTTTGAAATGTTTTTAGCTGATGATAATTTGTGAATTAGCTATTTTTCCTGTTGTGGTGGAGGGAGCATGGGTGAAAAGGTGGCAAGTCCAACCCAGGCCAAAGTGATTTCTTAGAAATAAACATAATTTTTATTTTTGATCACCTATGCTACCTTTTCCATAAGACCAAGAAAAAAGGTTGGCTCATAACATTTTATAGGTAAAATTTATGTGAATATGATGGTATGGAAATGTCCTATTTATTCTCTCTATATAATTAGTAATTCATAACCATTCACATTGAAGCATGGCTGAAGGTAATAAGGCAGACATAGTTGATGGTGGATGGCTCCTGTTATGTTTCTTTCATTTCCTTTCACCTAGTCTGTTTCATTGAGTCCATGCTCGGGAAGAGACACCATGCTGGAAGAGGAAATTGGTGAAGGGGCTGCATAAGTCACCTAAGAAAAAGTCATGTTTATTCAGCCATAGCCATGTAGACTCCATTTTCTGAACTCACACAGAACAGTGTCTATACTTACGTTTTTTCCCTCCTCGCATTTCTAGTTATCTGGCCTTGACAGAAGACAGTGTTCAGCAACACTAACAAGTAAGTTATTAGATTATGAATTCCACACTGGTAGGCATTGTGTCTCTTTTGACCCTCACATATCTCCAGGCTCCAACCTGGTGCCTGGCATCTAGCAGTAGATGCTCACTACATAATTGTTGAAGGGTAGAATACATATGTGCCTCAATGCATACATGCCTGAGTCAGGTAGGCAGAGAGGGAAGGAGGAAATCCTGGAAGTCCCAGCTGCCCTGTGACCTTGTGCAAGCCCTTTCATCTCTCATTGCCTCTGTTTCCTCATCCAGGCTGGGAAATCCTGGACTGGTGAACCAATGCATGTTCCCTGAGTGTGAGTCCTGTACCTGGTTTGACTGTAGTCACCCCTTCACCAACGCTCTCCACAATGCCGGCTGCCTCATGGCCTAAAATCGCAGGAACGGGAGTCATCATGGTGCCAGTAACTGCATGGTCATCTGAGCGACAGATTCCTACAGCCACAATCTACAGAGTAAAGAGATGTTTAGATTCAGAAAAGATTATGAGTCTCAAATGAACTTAAAAATCCCAATTTCATGAAATTGTGCTTCCAAAATACTTTCAAGGGTTTTGCTAATAATCCCTACTATTCCCAAATATGAAATATACAGTTTATCTTCAAGGTTATTCAGGCTGAAACCCTCCTCTACCTTCCTTTCTTGAATTAATAAATTTAGAATAATTTGTGAAATAACTGATCCTGAAATAGTTAATTCTTAAATAATATACAAGAAGGCATGCTTTAAAAAAAATAGAAGTAGAAATTGCAAATCAACACATAAAAATGTCTAATGCTAATTGATTTTGAAGTCTTGATATATATCCCTTGGAAAATTTTTTTTCTTTTTTACTGGAATTACACTGTATGTACTCTTTGATCATTTAAAAAATTTAATAATTTATATTTATACCTTTCTTTGAAACAACTGTATTCTATTTTCTGTATGATCATATAAAAATAACTCTGGTGATTGTTGGTTGTTTCTGTTTTTAATTTTTCTGAGTTTTTAAAAAACGTAACTACAAATGGAAAATTGTATTTCACCTTAATTCGAACTTCATGGGCCTTAGGAGGTGCCACCTCCACCTCCTCAATGGAAAAGGGTTTGTTTAACTCCCATAGCACAGCTGCTTTGCATTTGATTACCTAGAAAATCAAACAGAGAGATGGTACCAGTGTTTTCCCACTCTTGAATCCAGAAATTGTGTCATTTCATCTTTGTACTTGCAACATCTAGTCCTATGTCTCGTACCTAATAAGTGCTCCACAGGAATGATTATTTTTGGTTTATAAAGAGATAAAAATACCTTAAAAAAAGCAATAACATAAAAAACAATAAACAGAGTTAACTATAATAACACACCGAGATAAAATGGAATATATTCATTAAGGCTATCCTTGTGTTTTTTTCCTCCAAAGGTGTTTAATCCTGACATTTCCTAATGCTGTGCTGAAAACATTTGTTTACCTTCTATTGGCTGGTACATGAAGTTCTATGTCACCTTCACATTGCTGACAGTCACTGTTCAAATAAAATACACTGCTTTCTTGCTCAATTTTCTGATTAGGACAACAGGATCCATCTCTATAAGAATATATTTACCTTCCTGTCTTGAATGACATCTCTATTTCTTTCTATTTGCCTATTCTCCTCTTTTAATTTTCTCTCTCCACCCCTTCTGTGTGTTACTTGTTTCCAGCACCCATTTGCCACTTACCTTTGGCAGCATGTTCTGTTATCTGATTTATGTGTAGAGACTCTTTCCAGCTTCGATTTCAGCCAAAAATTATGGAGGTTAGAGTTGGTGATGATGGTGTGTGTGTGTGTGTGTGTGTGAGCGTATACACACTCACACCCACACATACATATTTCAAAATTGAGACATTGTGTGTTTGAATTTCTGGCTAGCAGATCTTATCCATAGATGTTCTTAACAATAAATGTTGAACACATATTTCCAGTGCTTGGTAGTGTAGTGTAAAATCTGTCTTCATTGTGGTAAAGCATGTATAATTCACAGAATTATTTCTAGAGAGAATCAACAAAATTGCAAGAATGACAAAATATTCATTTGAAATTTATTGTTCTGAAAATCATTTTTGTTATGTATTTGTTTAATTATTTAACTTTGCAGGATGTTCAACATGGTCAATGCCAAAATAAACATCAGAATACTTGGAAATAAGGTACTAATAGTAGGAGTTCCTGATTATCAGGTGCCTATGATGTGACAGGCACATTGTGGCCTTTGCTTGGTGAATTATATGCATTATAATTATATTTAAGTTTATTTATTTATTTTTAATTTCAACAGTTTTTTGGTGCAGGTGATTTTTGGTTACCTGTATAGGTTCTTTAGTGGTGATTTCTGAGATTTTGGTGTACCCTTCACTCAAGCAGAGTCCACTGCCCCCAATATACAGTCTTTTAGCTCTTACCTCCCCCCTTGAGTTCCTAAAGTTCATTATATCATTCTTATGTCTTTGCATCCTCATAGCTTAGCTCCCTCTCATAAATGCGAACATATGATATTCAAACATCTATTTCATAAGGTAGTTATGAAAATTCGGCAAATTAATACTATAAAGAACTTAAAATAGTATCTGGGACGTAGAAATGTCAATAAATATTAGCCACTATTATTATTGTTGCTATTTACCTCTTTTTTTTGGAGACAGAGTCTTGCTCTGTTGCCCAGGCTGGAGTGCAGTGGCACTATCTTGGCTCATGTAACCTCTGACTCCCAGGTTTAAGCGATTCTCCTGCCTCAGTCTCTTAGAATAATAGAACATTATTCTAAGTTAATTCACTTAGAATGATGATCTGTAGCTCCATTCAAGTTGATGCAAAGGTGATTTTTTTTAATTTTATTGTGTTTAATGGCTAAGTAGTAATTTCATGGTGTATACATACCATATTTTCTTTACTTATTTGTTGATGGTCATTTAGGTTGGTTCTGTAATTTTGTAATTGCAAATTGTGCTGCTATAAACAACATGCATTATTTTTAAACCTTGGAAGGATGCTACCAGGGCAGTACTATTGCATTATTGGCTTTATTTTACAGCTGAAATAATTGAGGATCAGTTGACTCAGTGATTGAATAATTTTTTCTGGTCTCAAAGCTGGCTGTCCAGAGAATAACAATCAATCTAGTCTTATGTTTCACTTCTCTGTGGCAGTAAAAAGTGAGCAAAAATACAAAAATTAGTCAGGCATGGTGGCATGTGCCTGCAGTCCCAGCTACTCGAGAGGCTGAGGCAGGAGAATTGCTTAAACCTGGGAGGCAAAGGTTGCAGTCAGCCAAGATAGCACCACTGCACTCTAGCCTGGGCAACAGAGAGAGACTCTGTCTCCAAAAATAAAAAAGTTAAGTAGCAACAATAATAATAGTGACTAATATTTATTGACATTTCTATGTACCAGATACTATTTTAAATTCTTTACAGTCTTAATTTATTGAATTCTTACAATTACCTTATGAAATAGATGTTAGTATTGTCACCATCTAGCATTTGAGGAAAGTAAAATGCTGGATAGGTAAACATAAATGAAATGCTGTCAAAAAACTAAGTTATTGATACTGTGTCCAAGGGGGGAGGAATAATTATCTATTTCATTAGTTATTATTTTCATTAATCTGATTGGTGTATACTTTTGCTCTAGGGACTCATTGTTTCTTTTTAGTTGAGTTTGGTAAATTGAATTCTTTTCCTAATTATTTTCTATGCAGAATGTATGTATTAATCGGTAATGAATGAAATAAAGTGAAGTGGAATAACAGCAACAATGGGTCACTCAGATGATTTCCAGTCAGGCTTATTGATATGAGCCTGTTTTGTCACAGAGTGTATAGAGAAGCCTCAGAACCTTTAAACTGAGTTATCATAGTGAGATATTTTACTGTGTGATACACTCCTAACACAACAAAAGGTCTGGAAATAGTTGCATAGGTTTATGTGATTAAGCAATTAAAAAATGTCAATTGATTATATTGTATGACCACATGCATTTTTGTGCACCTGTAAACTCATTGGACAATCAAGAAATTTACAAAAGGCAAAACCAAATACCTGTGTTTCCAGTGCTAATAAGTGATTCAAATTGTATTATTAATTTTCTGTAAAACCATATTGACTTTTATGTGGGGAAGATACTGTTCCATAGGAGTACTGTGGAAATTGCCTGAATTGTGTCATAATGGACACTTTTAAATCAGAATTTGAATGTTGATATTGTCTTCCTTAACCTTGATGATTCTAATGCTGTGAGACCAATGAGCATTTTGTAAGGTATTTTATGTTAAGGTTAAAGGGTGTTTCAAAGTCTTCGAAATCAAATCCTCTCATAAAACTTTTGTCAGGCTTAACTTACTTGTGTTCACAAAAAATATAAATAATAATGCTTTTACATAGTGGTTTTTTATTATAAAGACAACTTGTTGGTGAAAGTCTTTTCTAACTTTGGATTTACAAATTAGTCATGATTAGCTTGAAATAAAGTATCACTTTACTGCAAATATCTTTAATGTAGGAAATAAAGACTTAATAGATACATATTCTGTACATTCTTTTTGAAGGTATTTAGGAATAACTTATTTCTACTGTAGTTCACTATACATTACAAATTGTAGCATAAATTGCACACTGTATTTCAGTGTATCACTTCTAATTTGGATATGAATTTTAAATTATTCATCAAATACTGTATTCTTTTCTTTGTTATATTGATGAGAACATATTTCCAACAGTAATACATTTTTTGCTTACTTTTCTTGCTGTGCTCATGTTGTTTCTATCTTCTCTGCAGACCAGGAGGCGGGTGAGTCCTTGTGGATTCTTCCCTGTTCATGTGTATAAAACAGGTTTATTGCACCATCTTGTTTTTTTTTGCTTGAGTAACACCCAACACGTGATCTAGTTCGTTAAGCCACACCCGTCAAATTATTCTCAGACATGAAATCATAAAAAAATGGGTGCTGAGCCAGCACTCAAAACCTTGACTTTTCAAATTTCAGATAAGGTTTTGCTTTCATTAGGTTAAATATTAAGTTAAAGTGATGGAATTTAGTCACTTTCTCTTTTCCTCATTTTGGTTCTTATCTGTCAACTTTCTTGTTTCTCTTTTCTCAGTGCAACAGGGGTCATTCAGGGTTCTGTTTTCCCTTTCTCTGCACTAAGCTCCAGCTTTGAATGTAAATGGTGCAGTTAGGAAGAAGGAGGAGCAAAGGAGCAGGTTAAATAAAGATGACAGCAAGGAGCCAGAGGACTCAGTGTTTGATCCAGGACTCCCCTTCTCTTCACAGAGAATCAGAAATTCAATCACAGCAAAGGTGCTCACCGTGCCAGGAATTTTTGCTCCACCTAAAATCAATCAGCATTGACTGAGCCCCTCTCTACATCAGGCACTAAGCTGGGTCCAGTGCAGTAATACTGATGAATAAGACAGGACCTCTACCTGTGCCAGATGCATTATGGGACAGCAGTGATGATGTGGCTTTTGGGACCTGTCAGACCCTAGTCCTTACTAGCTCTGTGTACTTGCACTTATTATTTCACTGTTTGTCTTTTTTTTTTTTTTGCCTTAGTTTTCTTATCCATTAGATGAAGTAGAATAATAGCACCATTTGAAAGGACTGTTTAGTGAATAAATAAAATAATCCATGTAAAGCACTCATCATGAAGTTCAGCAGATAGGAGCACCCTCCTAAATGTAGCTACAATTATTTATCATAAAAGGAAGCTCACGGTTTATGGGGAAAAGATACACAGGCAGCCAAGTCTACATGTCAGCCTGGCTGGCAAATGCCCTATCACAGGTGTCAGTTAGTGCTTTGGGAGCAGAGACAGAGGTGCTATTTAAAATGAAGGCCTAAGGGGAGGCATGGTAGAGGAACAGGTATTTGAGGTAGATTTTAAATAATTGTGGGAAATTCAGAAAAATCCTCACTGGATCATTTCTGTTGCCCTTTGATCCATGTAACTAGTATACGCATGGCTTTCCAAGAATATGAGTTTGATTTTTCTTTTACCTATACTTGGAGGCATTGTACAAGCAGCTATTTAATCATATATAGTCTGTTAACATCAACAAGTCAACATAAAAGACGTATGTCTCTAGAATTGCCAAAGGACCATTTCAGTAAGCTTTAACTACGAGACTCACACCAAGACTGAGAAGCATTTACCCAACAGAGAAGAAAAGAAGGTCCGATGATTTCAGTTGCTTCTAGTTTGGAAATGTATGAAGATAAGAAGATAGCCCCAGATCTATGTCTGGAATTCAAGGCTTCATAATGTGGCTTTAACCTTCTCATTCACTTACTCCTCCCCATTCTTCAATACAGGGCCTATGTATTTTAGAAGCTTGTATCTCCATGGTCACCCAAAAAGGAATATATTCCTTACTCAAGTCCTTGCTCATCATGCTCTTTCTCTTCTTTTCTGTCCTTCTCACCCATCCAAATCCTACTGAAACTTTGAGACCAGGACAAGGTTGCCCCTGTGGAGGTATATTAACTCCATCTCACTGTTGTGCTTTGTGTCTCTGCATTCCTGTCATGCTAGTATCCCTCCTGAGGTATTTGTGGTCTGTTCCCTTTTATTGTCCTCTATATTAACTGTAAAGATTAGTCTCCTAAATTCTACTGGAAATTTCTAGTCAGGAATATTCTTAAATTTTATTTATATCAACAACTGTACCTAGTTCCATGTATACACTAGATGCTTAATGAATGATTGTTGAATTCTTGTGCTCCTTTATGTTAGGACAGGCACTGTTTTATGAGCAGTCCCATAATCCAGAAGATCCGGTGCCTCCTCTTTACAGGTTTATAGATTAGCAGTGGGATTGGCTGTGGTCAGGTAGACAAGACAGAGAATCCTCCTGTGAAGCAGGAAGTGGTCAGTGCCAGGAGAGAGTTCGACGTGGAATTCAAAAGAAGACTCTACTCTGTCTTTTTATTGTGCATTCTCAGCTCTTGACTCAATGCCTATCACAGAGTGAGTGCTCAGATATTTGTTGATTAAATTAAAGGAATGCCTTCTACTTTGAGAGTGAGAAAGCCTTGAAAGAAAGATATTTTATTAAGATTTATCAATAAAAATAGGCCATTAGGAGGCAAAATGGAGGACAGGAGGCAGGACTAACTTGCACCTGCAACTCTGATGAACAGAGCAGCTTGTGGAGACCCACATCATGAACATTTGCTCTACGAACTCCTCCAGGAACATATCACAAAAGTGGAGAGAATTCA